CCAAGGCAGGAGGATCGCTGTGAGTTCGAGACCAGCCTGGGCTACATAGTGAGTTCCAGGTCAGTCTCAACTACATAGTGAGACCCTGTCTCAAAAAACCTAAAATAAATAAATAAATAAATAAATAAATAAATAAATAAATAAATAAAATGTCCACAGCTAATAAGAATGAATATTTTCCTCCTCAAACAAGGACTGAAGCAAAGATGTCCATTCTCAACTCTGCTGTTCAACACAATAAAGGAAATCAAATATATGGACTGGAAATGAAAAAATAAAAACATTACTACTTGCAGATGACGACAGTCTACATGGAAAATCCCAAGGAATCTACAAAAAAAAAAAAAAAAAAACCCAAAAAAACAAAAAAACAAAAAACCCCTAGAATAAATGCGTTCAGCCAGGCGTGGTGGTGTACACCTGTAATCCTAGCACTTGGGAAGCTGAGGCAGGAGGATTGCTGCAAGTTCAGGCCATCCTATAGCAAGGCCTTGTTTTCAAAAAAAAAAAAAAAAAAAAGGTTCAAGGGCCAGGGATTTTGCTCAGTGGCACCACGCCTACCTTGCAAGCACAAGGTCCTGAGTTCAATCCCAGGTACCAAAAAACAAAGAGGGGGTTGTTCCCAATAGATTAGGAGACAGGACACGAATTCAGCATACAGAAATCAAAATAGGTGTGAAAGTGCAGCTCAATAGTAGCAGAGCACTTGCCATCACTGTAAAAGCAAGGGTTAAATTTCCAGCACTTAAAAGAAAAAAAAATTGTATTTTTATATACTGTGTCTACACAAAAACCTACACATAAATTTCACAGCAGCATTATGTGTAATTATGGAGCACGAAGAAAGGCAAAATGCCTTGCAATATGTGAATAGTTACACTTATTCCATAGGATATTGTTCAGCAATAAAAATAAAGGTACAATAATTTGGATGAGTCTCAAGGGCATTAAACTGACTGAAAGGCAATCTCAAAAGGTCACGTGTGATTATGTAGTGCTCTCAAGATGACAAACATATAAATGGAACACAGATTAGTGGTTGCCAGGGATGAGATGTTGTGTCGTTGGGGGGGTACTAGGGAATGACTATGAAGGGATAACCCAGGGAGATCTCTGTGAACGAATACTTCTGTATCCTGACTGGAGCAATGGTTACACAAATCTATACAAGGCAAAATGACATGGAACTATACATACACATCGAACCAGTGTCAGTCTCCTGGTTTTCATACTGGTTTATAATTATGTAACAATGTAGGAAACAGGAAAGGTACTTGGAATCTCTCTACAATCTTTGTAACTTCCTGTGAATCTATATTTCAAAATTAAAAGTTTAAAAACTTCTTAAAAGGAATAGAATGTCCTAAAAATAGCACATGCTGCATGTGTGGTTTTGTTTTGGTTTTGTTTTTTTTTTTTTTTGAGTCAGGGTCTCACTATGTAGTTGAGACTGACCTGGAACTCACTATGTAGCCCAGGCTGGTCTCGAACTCACAGTGATCCTCCTGCCTCAGCCTCCCAAGTACTGGGATTACAGGAGTGTGCCACCACGCCCGGCCTGCATGTGTATTTTTTAAAAAAGAAAATATCAAACTATTAATAGCTACTCAGGGCCAGGGATTTAGCTCAGTGGTTCTGCCATGTGCCTTGCAAGTTGAAGGTCCAGAGTTCGATCCTAAAAAAAAAAAAAAAAAAAAAAAAAAAAAAAAAGCTACTCTTCTGGTGGGCTCTTTGACTCTCTGGATTAAACATTCCTAAAACGTCTATTTTATACAGTAAGTATATAATAACTGATCATCAGAAAGAAAAGGAATTAAGAAAATGAAAACTATTTCTCACTGAGCCACATCACAGTTAAACAGATACAAATAAAAAAATTGAAAAAAACAATTATTAGCCCTTGTATGCCTAAGTGGTAACCAGCAAAACCAGGAAGTCCAAAACCTGAGCGGATTCCAGATCTAGATCATCATTCATTAACAGTGTAAAATGAGGAAGTGGCTTAACCCTCATAGTGTAAGGGATCAAGATTAGTGGCAGAAAAATTATCTGAAGCATTAAATACATCACATTTTAAAAATCAGCAGGAACAAAATTCTACAATGTTATATAGTCAGAAGCAAACTGAGAGATCTAATACAATTTTTCAATTTATAGTGGAAGAAATTAAGCCTAGATAGTTAAATTTCAGAGCTACTCATGGAAAGAATGTGACATATAAACCTGAAAGCACAGCAGTCAAAGAATACTGACTGGTGAATTTACCATTCACATCCATGTGACCTTGCAGAATTTCTGTGCCCTACATAAGCCTCGCTGACTCAATCTATGAAATGAGGAGACAGCTGGCATGGTGGCCAGCCAATCCCACTGCTCCACAGGCTGACATAGGAGGATCCCAATTTTGAGGTCAGCCTACGGGATGTAGCACAGCACCCCGAGCTCAACACCCAATAACCACAGCACACACAGCACGCGCAAAGAAGAGAATACCAGTTCCTACTTCATGGCCTCATCATGAAGATTACAGAGAACAATGCAAACTGCATTTACAGTAATGCCTAGCAAACAGAAACTGCTCGATAAAATGTAAATTAGTATTGCCATAATCATCTTCTCTTCTCTCTGCTAAACAGTGGTGCCACAGGCCTGAAATAATTTAAAAGTCATCATTAATAAATAGCCAGCCATAAGGGGAAAAAATGAGAACCAAGACCTGTCATGTAAAGGTACAAGATCCCCATAATGAATGTAATTGTACTGTATACCTAAAATGTACCAATAAACTCAATGAGGAAAAATAACCGAAAAATAAAATAAATAGCCAGCCATAGAGCAAGAGAGAATCTTACAGCTTGAAATCTTTGGATTAATACAAAATAAATATGAATAGCTGAAAATGTATAGCTGTTAAATATTATAAAGGCTTTGCTTAAGATGGAATTACATTTCATTAAAACAACAATGTAACCTAAATTGAAAAAGAGTAACAATAAGTGATTCCAGTTATCCAACAGAGAATTCTACACATCAAACTCAACTAAATAAACATACTTCACAAATATTTCAGGAGTGTGTCACTCACTAACATCATTTGTTTACTGTTCTTTTTTATTTTTTATTTTTGAGACAGGGTCTCAATATGTAGTTCGGACTGGCCTCACTATATAGTCCAGGTTGGCCTCAAACTCACGGTGATCCTCTTTGCTCAGCCTCCTGAGTGCTGGGATTACAGGTGTGCACCAGCATGTCCAGCATAATTATTTTCAGTGCTGGGGAATCAAAGCCAGAGTCTCAACAATTTTGAAGCAAGTGCTCTGCCTCTGAGCCACACCCCCAGCTCGCAGCACTATTTTTTAAAGTATGTCATAAAATATTGTAAAAGCACAAGCAGCAAAAGCAAAAACAGACAATGGGCACATATCAAACTAAGGCAATTGTGCATAGCAAAAGAAACAATAAACAGAATGAAGAGACAACATACAGAAAGGAGAAAAACACTGTATTTGTAAACTTCTGTATTCATCTGATAAAAAATAAATTCTAGCCAGATGGGTGGTGCACACCTGTAATCCCAGCACTTGGAAGGCTGAGGCAGGAGGATCTTTGATTATGTGAGGCCAGCCTGAGCTACACAGCAAGGCAAGGCTAGCCTGAAAGCCTGGATTATACACACACACACACACACACACACACACACACACATACATACATATATACATATATATACACACACATATATACACATATATATACACACACATATATACACACACATGTACATATATGTGTGTGCATATACATATACATATATACATATATACACACACACACACACACACACATACACATACATACATACATACATATTATTATATATACACACACATATATACACACACATGTACATATATGTGTGTGCATATACATATACATACATATATACATATATATACACACACACACACACACACACACATACACATACATACATACATACATATTTAAAAAAAAAGCCAGTATGTTAAAGGCTTGGTCCTCAGCCTGTGGCAGTATTAGAGGTAGGAGCATATCCTTGAAGATTACAGGATCCCATCTACCCTGACCCCATTTCCCAGTCACGAGTTGAGAAGTTCTGCTCTACCATAGGCTCCTTGCCATAGGCCCAAAGGCAATAGCCAACAAACCATGGACTAAGCCTCTGAAACCGTGAGCCAAACAACCTACCTCTTTTTATACGCTGATTATCTTAGGTATTTTGTTACAGTAACAGAAGACTAACCAACATAATGTCCAAAGAAAATGATACCCGTATATCAAAGATATAGTTGCACATCCACATTTTTTATTTTGTTTTGTTTTTTGAGACAGGGTCTTGCTATATATAGCTCAGGCTGGCCTTGAACTTAAGGAGATCCTCCTGTCTCAATCTCCTGAGTCTGGGATTATAGGCATGGGCCACCATGCCTGGCCTGCACACCTTTTTTACTGTACTAGTCACACTAGCTAAAATACAGGAATCAACCTTGGTACTCAATAGATAATGAGTTAAAGAAAATGTGAAATATATATACAAATATTTTGCTGAAAAACCACGTTTAAACCGGGTGTGGTGGTGCATGCCTGTAATCCCAGCACTCGGGAGGCTGAGGCAGGAGGATCACTGTGAGTTGGAGACCAGCCTGGGCTACGTAGTGAATTCCAGGTCAGTCTCAACTACATAGTGAGACCCTGTCTCAAAAAAAACAAAAAACCAAAAACAAAAAAAAAACAAAACATGTTTATCCATGCCAGTAGTCCCACCTACAATCAGTTGATCCCAAAAGTCTGGGGCTAAACTAAGCAACACAGTGAGACTGTCTAAAAAGAAAACACTGATAATAATTTGCAGCAAAATAGAGTTGGTGGACATTAGGTTAAGTAAAACAAAATAGACAACACATTCTTTCTCACATGGGGATGCTAACAAAAGTCAGTGTGAATATAGAACAGTGACTTACTGGAGGCTGGGGAGGTCAGGGAGAAGAGTAGAGGGAGGGTGGATAATGGCTACTGTTGCAGGGTTCTACAGCACAGTGCGATGATTGTACTTCACAGGGAACTACTGCAGATTGTGTGAAAAGATGAAGGACAGAAGCTTGAAGACACCAAACACAAAGTAAGGAGAAAGGGGTGGAAATGTTAATTACTCTGACATGATCACCACACATTGTATCCTTGTACTGAAATATCACACTGTACCTCATAAATATGTATAATTATTATGTGGTAATTTAAAACTGTTTTAAAAGTTTAATGTGATGGAAATACTCACTACGCTGATTTGATCATTATACCCCGTATCCAAGTATTGAATTACTTGACTGTATTTCACAAATATGTACTGTTAAAATCATGGTTAAGAAAAAAATTAAAAATAAATGTCACAGATTTATGCAATTTATTTATTTACTGGTACCTGGGATTGAACTCAGGTCCTTGTGTTTGCAAGGCAAGTGGTGGAACCACTGAGCTAAATCCCCGGCCCTATACAATTGTTTATTGTTGATGCCTTCTATACAGTCTGAAAAGAAATTGGGAAACTTGTGAAAAGTAACTGGCAAGATAAACTATTCCATTGGGATTAATTATATCAAGACACAAGAAACCAAAGTGGCTTATACAATATCATTAGGCAATCTTTACAATACAGAGACTGTATCAACAAATTAAAGCCTTTGTATATAATCTGTTTCTGAGGCAGGCAGTGGAACCACTGGGCTAAATCCCCAGCCCTATAATCTGTTTAATCTTTTTTTTTTCTTTTTTTGTACCAGAGATTGAAATCAGAACCTTGTACTTACTTGCAAGGCAAGCAGTGAAACCACTAAGCTAAATCCCCAGCCCTAATCTGTTTAATCATATAAAGCCAATGTCTATATTCAGATAGTATCTATATGTGATTGAAATGTGCAGGCCTTTTGTTGGTGCCGATGGTGGTCTTTCTGCCTAGAGCTCAAATCCAAGGCCTTGAGTATGCTGAGCAACCACTCCACCCCTGTTGCTTCAGGGTTAGCGTGTGTGTGTGTGTGTGTGTGTGTGTGTGTGTGTGTACGCGTGTGTGTCTATGCTTGCCCTAAGCATACATACATGCATATTTGTGTACATAAAACACTCCAAAATAGCAGAGTAAAGCTGTCTGAAGCACTTATCTTCTACTTTAAACTCTATCTTGAAAAGCTAATCATCAAAAAGTAAGGATCATAGCCAGGCATGGTGGCGCATGCATGTAATCCCAGCACTCGGGAAGCTGAGGCAGGAGGATTGCTGTGAGTTGGAGACCATCCTGGGCTACATAGTGAGTTCTAGGTCAGTCTCAACTACATAGTGAGACCCTGTCTCAAAAAAAAAAAAGGGAGTATCACAACTGATAAAACAATTTATAAAGACAAAGTGTAGTGCTATAGAAAACTATTTCTGATTTGATATGCAGTAAAAACTTTAAAAAGTTACTATTTCCAAGTAATGCTTTTAAAAATACCTACAAAAACAACATCTATAACCCAAGGCAAAACAATGGGGAAAGGTGGTTTTTTTGTTTTTGGGTTTCTTTTTGGTACCAGGGATGGAACTCAGGACCTTGAGCTTGCAAGAGGCGGGCAGTGGGACCACTAAACTAAATCCTCGGCCCCAAAAAGGTGTTTCTTTAATCTTTGCCTTTTTTCCTAGGGATTAAACCCAGGGCCTTGTGCATGCTAGGCAAGTGCTCTATACTGAGCTACACCCCTAGGCTTTTTTAAAAATTTTGAGATAGGGTCTCACTAAATTGCTCATGCTGTCCTTGAACTTTAATCCTATCTCAGCCTGTGGAGTAGCTGGGATTAAAGGCATGTGCCACCACAACCAAGACATGATTTTTAAAAGTTATATAAAGTTAGTGTTAATAAATTTTCCTTATGAAATTATACATTATGGTTGCACTTTTGCTAAAATAAATTTAAATCTAATTTAACATAATAAAACTTACCTAACATGCACACAACAAATGCAAATTACATCCATTTGCAGATCCACAAACAAGAGCACAAAGTAATAGTTATAAAAGCAAAAGAGTCAAAAAGCACTGTGTGGGAGGATGAGGTTTACTTTGGGCATTTATATACTAACTTTATGATTAATAACTGCAGCAAAAGTATTTGGGACTATCCAGCTTTTCCACTCCACTTAAAAAAATTTTAATCCTAGCTAGGTATGGTGGCATACATTAGTAATCCCAGAACTTGGGAAGGTGAGGCAGGAGGATGACCCAAATTCAAGGCCAGCCTGAAATGAACAGCAAGACCCTGTCTCAAAAAACAAAACAAAACAAAATTTTTAGCTGGGTATGGTGGAATACCCCTGTAATCCCAGCACTTGGGAGGCTGAGGAAGGACGATGGAGTTCAAAGACTGCCTCAGTACATAGTGAGTTCAAGGCCAGCCAATGCTACACAGCGAGATCTTATCTAAAAAAAAGCCAAAAAAATAATAATAATTTAATTCTAAATGAAAAAATTTTCAGTGAAAAAACAAAAAACTATTCCCTCTGTATTTTTCCAAAGAAATTTTACTTTTTCTTAATAAGTACAGGATGTTACAACTGGGCGTGGTGGGCACACCAGTAATCCCAGCGCTCAGGAGGCTCAGGCAGGAGGATCACTGGGAGTTTGAGACCAGCCTGGGCTACATAGTGAGTTCCAGGTCAGTCTCAACTACATAGTGAGACTGTCTCAAAACAAACAAACAAACAAATACAGGACATTGCTCCCAAAACTATGGATTCTGCAATACAGCAATTATAAAACAGTTCCAAACACCGTGAACCAATTCCCACCATCCATTTTTGTAACATGTTAGTAATGATTTTCTACTGTGTTGTATCTTATTAATTTGGAGTAGCAGAATTTGGGGCAGCACATTTGAAAGCATTTAATTCAGGTCTGAGACATTTTTTGCTGACCTGACCATGCCCTCTTATATACTATGTACTACTCAAAACTTTCATGCATATAAAAGAATACAATCTTTTCTGGCTCCTTGCTTTAAGCGAAGACTTCTATTCTTAGGTTGTACCGAGTTCTACACCCATACAGAGCTGTCTTGACTCAGTGAATAAGAATGTGACAGAATCTGCTGCCCATTTTATATCCTGTTATACCAAAAGTTAGTTTGCAACAATCACAATTTAGTGGTAAATTTAATGAAGGGCTCCTGATCTAGCCATATGCCACTGCACATCAGCAAAGTTGAACATATAAAATTCTAATTCTTATTCTAATCAAATGAAAATATTTGGACAGGCTAGTGGTTTGCCATATTAATTGGTAAAATCTTTATTTTTAAACACGCTACATCCCCAAATCCAATCAATTTTCTAATGGAAAATGAGAAAATGGCTCAAGACTTCATACTCTATCATTCCAAAACATACTTGCAACTCAAATTTTAATGTATTATTTTGACAATCTCTGCTTTCATGCCAATATTTTATTGAAACTGACATCTACTTAATTTCAAATTTGCACAGTGAAACCATTTTGCAGGTGTTTCCAATAACTCAGTGACATAGCTGAACCTACAGAAAACCCCTAACTTAGCAGAATCTACAGTGCTCACCTTCTATTAGAACCTTTTATCTTCAAGAATTTCATGCCTGTTGGTTAGCACGAGCCTGTAATTCCAGCACTCGGAACAACTGAGATAGGGAGATTTCAAATTTGAGTCCCACCTGGGGCATTTAGTAACCTTGTCTCAAAATTTAAAAATAAAATGAAAGGGGCCAGAGATGTAGCTCAGAGAGAAGGCTGTGAGTTCAATCCCTAAAAATTAAACAAAAGAACAGAAAAAGTATCCAGATAATATATTTATGTTAGTACCTCTCCTCACAAGTCAGAAATATAATTAAATTCACAAAAATGTAAGGCAACTCTAACTATGTCTCACAGCCCCTACAACATCACTCATCTGAGGTACACATAAAGCATTATTATTTCATTATGAAACACTACAGTGAAATTATTATAAGGACATTTTCTTAATTAATAGAGTCACACGATGTTACATTCACACAAAGTGATGACATTATCAAGAGGGCTAAGACATAAGTCAACATCATTTCATTTTTGCTTTCTTTCTTTTTTTTTGGTACCGGGGATCGAACTTGGGTCACTCACTGTGCTTGCGAGGCAGACAGCGGGAACCACTGAGCCAAATCCCCGGCCTAAGTCACATCACTTCAGTATAGAAGCCCAAATCTTCACAAAACAGAGACAGAGGGTTAGGCTTAAGATCTGGTGATAGTTCAAGGGTCAGGGTTCAATTCCCAGCACAGGGGGGAAAAAAAGTGTGCTGCTGCCCCTGTGGAATAAACAAGAAGAATTAAACTGCATGTCTTCCATAAATCTACATCCACACAATCCATTAGCAAATCAGCAGTCAGACAAGCAGCATGTAAACACTGATTCCTTTCCCAAGTGTGCCTGGTCCGTGCTCTCCTATTTTTAGTTAACTTCTTGATTTCTCAAGGTCAAGAAAACCACAAGACCTAAAGTAAGAATCACTGTCATCATGATACCAGCAGTCAGATGCTTTTCTATTCTTGCCCAATTTTCATACCCCTCAATGTGTCACCTTAAACTCTGGACACACAAGATTCCTCAAATCACATGCAAGCAAAAAAGTAAAGATAGCAGCATTTTGTAAATAAATATATAAACACACACCACCACCACCCCCCACATGCACACAAGAAAAAAACCGTAGGCTTTCCTCCCCCAAAATTTCTGCAAAAATTAAAACGTTTACTCTGGGAATGTATAGTCGCTTTTCTTCCCCCCCCCCATTAAGTTTATTGGTACATTTAAAGCAAACAATAGTTACATTTACCACTGAGATTACAGTCCCTTTTCTATAGCCTAAATCTATTAAAAGAATTTAAATCAGCTCAAGTCCACCAAACATGCTAGTTTTTAAAAACAGCCTCACAAGAAACTTAGAATATATAGAATTGTGTTCTCATATAAGCCAGTTTGACACACAAAGCTATATAAGCTTTAGCCAGGCATAGTAGCACACATCTGTAAAAGCCAGGCATAGTAGCACACATCTGTAATCCCAGCACTCTTGAGGCTGAGGCAGGATTGCCATGAGTTCTGGGCCAGCCTGGTCTACACAGTGAGTTCAAGGCCAGCCTGAACTACATAA